AGGTGAGAAAAAGCATTTGAGTTGCATGGATAAAGCCAGTGAAACGGCAAGAAATCAAGTTTTCCAGAATAATGACATTTGGGACCAAATGTCAGCCTTGGTGCCAAGAAGGGTTCCTACACCCATTGCAAGACGTTTGAAAGTTAATCTGGCTGTGGTGGGGAAAGCTGTCCCTTTATGTGTGCAGTCTGTTTTGCTCTTCGGGGAAAACACAGTGATGTGAATCATCCTGTGACTTCCATTCCTGGTAAAGACGGTTGTGTTTGAGAGAGCTAGTAGACGTGAAAGCCACGAACATTTACAAAACAGTTTATGGAAGTGTTTCAAAACAAATTCATTTTCATCCAAATCAAATCAGTAGATACTGACTGTAGCAGGACTGGCTAATGTGGGAGGGACGGGCAACGGCAGAAATGTGAACACTGGTAATCCCTGACTGCAGCGAGCGCCGTGGACATGCCTGGCGTTGCTTTAAGCACTCTGCATACACTGTGTCACTTCATCCTCCTGACGGTCTGTTTCGTGAGACAGTTCTGTTACTCATGAGTGAGGGACCTAGGATGCAGGGTGGGGCGGTAACTTGCCATACAGCCCAGCACTGCTGGGGGTATAATGCGGGTTGGTCTGAACCCCAATACACAGCTGAGGATGGGGTGATGGGGAAGCAACAGTGACAGGCAGCACTGAGATGGAGAGTGGACCACATACAAAGATGGCTTAAACCAAGAGCCAGTCTTGGCTTACACCGAAAACAAGTTTTGATATGTCTCACATGGGGAAGGATGTGCATGTGCGTAGCTGTACCACTTGTTGGCTATCTGTGACTTCTTGCTTTTCCACATGCATATTTTCAGATATTTATGTTTTGTTTCCTCAACTAGACCAACAGCTCCTGGAGACCAGGTCTGCGCTGTGGGTCTTTTGCCTTCTGCTCCGTACCTATGACTAAGCTCAAAAACCTGTCAGTGGAAACGGAGCTGATCAATCTTTTCAGTCTCTTGTTCTATCCTCTTTGCAAATGAAAGATAATCAGACCCCAAACATTTAAAAAATGTGGCAAGCAAATTCTGTAAACAACGTGATTGGGGATTTTCTAAATGCTCTACCGGTAGAATGAATTTAATGATGCCCATATTTTAATGAATGTCTGTCACAGGGTTGATGTTTAATTGAAAAGGTTACACTAGACTTCTGGTCAATTTTTCTTTTGTATTTGTCATTCTACTGAAGTGTTGAAAAATGTATAATCTGCCTATAAAAATACAATCTTGGGGCTAACTGACTATCCTAAGAGTTATTTTTTGCTTTAAAGATGAAGAGATTCTAGAGTTATCCTTTAGAATTTCTGTTGGAATAACATGTTGACCATAAAATGCAGAAAATATGGTCGAGAGAGAGAGAAGAACAGACATACAGGATAATGCTAATCCCTCTCTGATGTGCACCTGGGAACAGAGAACTGACCCTACCTGGTCTGGAATGGTTGAAACACTGACAACATGTTGACAACTTTCTGATCAGATTCCATTTGTTACTCTTTCCCAGTCCTGAAATGAATAAAGGACAGCTAGTCGTCCTAGCTTTAGCAATAACTAGGCAGAACATCTTTCCAGTTCATGGGAAATTCTCCCGCCAGTGTAATGCCAGCTTGGGAGATGCAGGACTGCAAATGCCCCTCGGCTCATTAGAGCAGGAGTTAGTCTGAGCATTGTATAGTCTCCAAGGAGGATAAAAACAAGGTTTCCTGAGGGAGGCCTGGGCAGGAGCGGTGAATCAACTATTGTCATAGCTGACTTCAGGGAAGCCCAGTATTAAGAAGGCCTCCGTTTTGTGCAAACTGATCAAATGCAGATGTTTCCAGGGAGTTGACCTTATTGACCGAGACTTCACTGGAGATTGAATGGCAGACAGCCAGTCAAGAGTCGGGTGAAGGCATGTTTTGGCCTGAGAGTGTAAATGTATATATATATACAGTAGACAGGATGTGGATGATGCTGAGCAAACATCTGTTTTATTGATAAATACACGTTTTACTTCTAAAAGTTTGATACCAGAGAGATGTAGTGAAAAATAAATTTAGTTTCAGGCTTTGCTAGGCGTCTCATGTGCACGTCAAATGCTGAAAGAGATGAAGGGCAAACAAATATTAAAAATGGGTTCAACCTCCATCTTCCTGAAATATCAGATTTCATATAAAACTCATCAGCTGAGCTAAGTATTAGGCTTGATCAATGGCAGGAAACTAGGGGATCAAATGCTAATAAATCAGAAACAGATACCCCCTCTCGAGCAGAAAATATATCACAAAACTGAAAACAAGAAAATCATCTGATGATTTTCTTAATGCATGTGCATGGAGAAAATTCGCTTTTTTGTTTTTGTTTTTCAGGAGCAGGGAGTGCTGCACCTAAAACAGAGACAAAGAATAAGATTCTTAAACACCTTAATCAGATTTTGACTTTGACGTATGCGAAAGAAACAAGAAAGGTCCCTATATTTGGTGAAGAATGAATACTGAGTAGTAATCTGTTTGTGGGTGGGAAGATATTCAAATGGCAAAGTGAACACATTCAAACCTTGCTAATAGTATTTTACCAGATGTTTTCATGCATTTTCTCTCTTGGGAATTATATCCTCAGACCTCAGCTCCAACCCCTCTGCCTTTTAAAAATGTACTGGCTCACAATTCCATTCCTTTACTTCTTAGAATTTTTTTTCCCTTATTCATTTTCGTTTTGTAAAGTATGTGTTTTATAGAAATAAAACATATATACAGAAAAATGCATGTCTTAAGTTCACAAATTGGTAAGCTCAATGAGTTTTCATAAGGCAAACACACTTATGTAACAGGACATTATCAGTGCCTCAGAAACTTGTCATTGACTCCTCCTCTGAGAGTAACCACTACCCTCACTACAGTGGGGCTAGTGTAACACTAAGGATTCGTGTCTGGTTTTGAGCTTTATATAAATGGAACCATAAAGTATGTATTCTTGCATCTGGCTTCTTTTGCTCAGTATTATGTGTATGCGATTCACCCATCGTGGTTAGTTCTGCATTTATTGGTATTTAAATGGTATTTTTAAAATAATATGGATATATCCAATTCCTTAATGTAGTCTTGTAGGTAGAGAAACATGTTGATTTATTTCAGCATATTGACCAGTCTCGGCACTCAGAAGAAACCTCAACAAAGTAAGCAACCACCAGCAGAAATCACAAAGAATCCACTGAGCTGTGACAAAATTCTCAAACCGACATGTCTGTAATGAAAGGCACATTATCACGAACACCTTAAAAACCTTCATATTTGGTTCCCATGTCTTTTTCTTAAAAACACACATGCAAATAATTTTTTTTCTTTGACCCACCTTAAACAAGAACCCAGAAAGTGTGGTCCTTCTCTCTGAATGGAGACTATTTGCTTCTGTGAAAACAGAGAGCTAAATTAAATTAGAAAATCCTGGTATTCAGTAGGACTGAATTTCCCTTCCTTCCTACTTTCCCATTCCACAGTCTATCACCTAGAGTAATTAAGACCAGGGAGGTATCATCTTCACTGGATTAACCTTAACTAAATTGTGCTCATTCAACATGTGCCCTTTTGATTAGTCCGAGCAGGGCCTGCTGTCTCGGATACACCCACCTTGTAATTCTACACACTTAATTAATTTCAGATGAATAGAGAGGGGGGCTAAGCTAAATTCTCCAATTAATAAACTATAAGTCCTTATGAATGTCAGAGTAGCTCAAGATTTTCATTCTTCCTTTATTTCTTTACCCTGCAAAGGGTAAATGGAGATTGAAATGGAACAAAACAAAACAAAAAAAACCCACCCATGCAACACATTCACACAGCTGCAATTGTTCGAGGTTGGTGAGGGGGGTCCCTGGGCAGTTTCATCATCATAAAGGGCAGGCCTTAAGAACTGTTGGTAAAATAGATTATTTTTCTGCCAAGCATAATTTTTAATGTCCTTCGCCACCTGGACATCGATATTTAGTTTTTATTTGCACGTATTTCCTGTTCTATGTACAGATTCTTGGTTATGAAAGTTCAATATGAATGCCACTAATTTTATATTTTTAAATGGCTTTCTCAGAAGTAAAATAGTCTGGGAGCTTTTCTGAGAAGTGGTTCGGAGTTATTTGTTTAATCATCAAATTTAACAGCTCTCAAAAATATAATAAAAATTTGCCCTCATGGGCATCCCTGATAGCAAAGAAAATAATTTCCTTATAATAAAAATGACCCTAAGGATGTTTATATGCTATAATTTATCTCATACTAAAAGATGGCTAGAAAATTATATAAGATAGATTTACAGTCGATCCTTTAACCCAGAAAATTTATATGTCCAGTTATTAGTGACTTACAAACTTCTACCAATCTGCATAATTGTATATAAAGAGATTCCCCAGTAGCTTTTATGTCCTATGATTCAACATAATGAGATCAATTATGTTCAGGGAATTTAAATTACTGATACTTAGGGAATAAAACTAGCATAGCTTTTAGCTTCTTACGATGGTATACAAGAAATTCTATTTACCTAAGACAAAATAGCCATCTTAATACAGCCCATTTTATGTGTTTTAGCAGAGATTTTAAAAGATTCTAAGAGTTTTTATCATTCAAGAAACCATATGCTCAGTTCTCTAATGTTTTCAGATGTTAAATCTGTTCTGATTTTGTTTCCTAAACCTAGTCCTTTGTCCCAAAATGATTAAAAAAAAAAATCCTTGGGTAATTTTGTTAGTATTTTCTACTAGTCTGAAAAATTAACTGAAATTCTTGCACTCTATTTTTAACTGCAGTAATTCCCTATTAAATATTCCTACAAATTAAATGAGAATACTACTGCTCAACAATTTACCATTAAATGAGTGTAGAATATTTGACTGATTATTTTACTAATTCCTTACGTATGAAAATTCTTAAAATGGTGTAACTACTTGATTAATTGAATGCAAATATTAAATAATTTTTTATTGATGACATGCATGCTATAGGCACATCATTTCAGGAGGCATCAGCTAATGCCTTGTCAGGTTTGGATTATCTTTTTTATCTGAGGCTGGCACATGGGCATTTTAACTCAGGAAATCTTACTCTCTCTGCCTTCCCTAAAACCAGTTCCTACATTTGACCCTGTGGAAAAACACAAAAGCAAGTAATTTAAATCAGCCTACACCTGCACCATCATCCACCTACCCTTACAGGAACGCTTCAAATATCTCATTCCGGAGCACCTCAGGCGGCTGAAAAGGACAATTTATTCCGCACTAAAGAACAAAATACTGACATTGAGTTTGTCTTCTTTGGGATCAGAGGAAAGCTGAGATACTATTAATGAAAAGGCCACAATGTTTGGCCCTACTGTGATTTAGATTTGCTATACAAACCAACAACTATTTTTGAATGATGGAATTAAGTATTTACACAAGGGGACTTAGCTCTTCAGTTTGGTTATGTCCTGCTGTTTATGTTACACGATCAGAAACCTTGTGAGTACTGTTTTAGGTGATACATCACCAAGAATTCTTTCATTAAGAAAGTAGTGTCTGCGATCGTTTGCTGTAGGGAAACCTGTTCAGCTAAATTTTGCACTTTACAAAATAGAAAAATTTATTCGACTGTTCCCTCAATGTATAGCATGCTCGTCTGATCACCTTGCAATTTAATGGCCATGTGTCTTGTATGCCTGTGTTGGACTCTTTTAACAGGACTTCCACCAATAAATTCAAGTTTTTGTTCTTGTTTATAACCGGCATTTCCAGGTCTGGCCAGGTCCAAAGAAAAGGAATTGAGGGTTTGCATCGTTTTTCGATCTAACTGGAAGCTGTTTTATCACTTGTCTTTTGAGAAGCGCTCCCTTTCCCGCACAGGCATTGCTGCCGCCTCTCAAGCTTGGTACAAGAGTCTCCGCGCCAAGCCAGGTCGCTTCGGGCAGTTCGTGCTTCCGCGGCTCGGCGCTCGGATGGCCGTGTCCCCTTCGTTTCTTTCGTGCGTGTCGCTGGAAAAAAAGTTTGTTCTAAGCCCGTGGCATTTCCGCGCGCACAAGGAAAGGCAAGTGGGAGAGGAAGGTGCAGGTGCGGGGCGGGCGCGGCGGCTCCTTCCGGCGCCTGGGGCTGGGCGGCCCCGGGTCGGGTGCGGCTCCGCTCCGCGCACGTGGCTGTGGGCGCTGCGAACGGAGGACTGAGGGCCGGGAGTGGAGGGTGCAGCGCCCGCCGGTGCCGACGGCTTCCGCCCAGAGCCTTTCGCGCCGCGCTGTACCCGGCTGGTGGCGCCGGGGAAACGCTCTCAGCCCTGCGGCTCCGGCGGGCAGGCTCTGCGCGGGGCCCCGCCGAGCCTCCAGGGAGCCTTTCCCGCGGCCGAGGGGCGTCTAGGGACGCAGAACTGAGAGTGGGCGCAGAAACGGGGGTCGGCGCTGGAGTCCGACGGGGAGGCCCAGGGCGGTCCGGCTGGTTGGTGGAGGGGGTTGTGCACCTCGAAGCCTGCGGGCTAAGGCGGGGAGCCGCTCCTGCGGCGGCCGGGGGCGCGGGCTGGAGGGAGGAAAGCGCCGCGGACCGGGGAACCGGGGGGACGGGGAGGCGAGGGCGGCGGGTAGCCGCCGAGTGGTCTGCAGCTCCGAACCCCGCCACCCTCCGGGCGGACGGAATGGCACCGCGGGGACGGGCGAAAGCGCATTTGATTGGATCCAAAGTAGAGCCCGGATCGGAAGGCGAGACCATATGCGACGGTGGCCACGCGGGCTGGGAGCCCCGGGGCGGGAGGGGGTGAGTGGAGCCGCCCGAGGTAGGGGAGTTGGGGGCGGTGGTTGTGAAGACCGTCAGAGTCGGGCTCCGGACAGGCGAAACACCTTGGCGCGCTAGACTGTTTCCTCCTCCCCTCCGCTTTCCCACCAGCCCTGTAGATGCTGAGGCTGGGGGTCGCGGCTCCTAGGGCAGCCTCTTGCCCCGGGTCAGGCCCCACGCCGCGGCGGCTGTCGCGTGGCGCCGTCCTGGGGTGGAGCTGTCCCCGCGCCCCGGCCCGCAGGCAGGAAGGCCTGCAACCTTGCGCCCTCGCCGGACGCCCAGCTCAGGGCTAGGGACGGGGAAGGTGCATTTCCGTGTGGGGTGGAGGCGATTCCCGGCTGTCGGCGGTGGGACTAGGCCTGCGGCGGAAGAGCTAGGCCTCCGCGGCTTTCCAGCCAGCCAGGTGCAGGATTTCCCGACCGTCCGACCCGTGGAGGGGAAGGTAGGCGGCTGCCCCCAGCCTCTTCGGGAAGCCGCTGCTGGGCCAGGAAGGGATGGGAGACAGGGCTCACACCATTCCCGCGCCGCCCTCGAATCCGCGGACCTCCGTTCCCTTTGCCATTGCTGGGTGTGCGCCCCAGTCCCCGGCGACTTTAAGGCCCGTGGGCGTCCTGTGTGCACGGCTACTGCCCGCGGCGCACCGGCCTAAGCCCGGAGGGAGGTGCGGGGCGGGAGAGGCGGCCCTCCCTGGGTCTCCCCTGCCTGTCACATCTGCACTTATTTAAAGCTCGGCTGGTGGTCTGCGCTCTCTGGAATGCCAGTTGCGGGCCTGGCCTCCTACGGCATTTGCATTGATTAGCGAGCGGGTCTTGGGGGAGAAGGGGGAGAGGGGGGGCGGGGGGAAGACCGGAGGTTCACAGTATTCCTCCTGTCCCTGTCTAGCAAGCTAACCGGAGCCCAGTGATTCCCGCTGCACCGATGGCTGAGTGTGTCAGGGAGCTAGGAACCGAACTTGAAGAACGTTCGACGCGTCTGGGAACCGGCCACTGCCATTTAGTAGTACGTTGCGGTCCGGCGCGCACACCGGGCCCTAAATCTCTGCAGGTTCCAGCGCTGAAGCGGGTGGAGAAGGTGAACAAGTGCTGTGACCCCAAGTCCTAAAAGTTTGTAGGCAGTGCCTGGGATGTGCAGCATCGTTGATGCGAAACTCTTAAATGTTTGCTGGTGCAAGTCCATACAAAACGAGATTGGCCTGCCTCGCTTAAAATACTGTACACAAAGCGTAAAAAAGGCACGGGCAACCGACATCGCGGACGCCACCCCAAGCAGAAGAGGCCCGGTGCAAATTCATTGCTGAAAAACAATCTGGGCTCTAATTTACTGTGACTCCCAGGGGCGCAGGGGTTGGGGGGAGAAGCAGAGGGGGACCTTTTTAAATTCTTGAATCCTCAAAAAGTTTGGTCTGATTTTGCATTTGCCTTTGGACTTAGTATAATTCAGGGTAGAAATAAGGCCCCTCTGTATTTCTATTCCCCTTTGGTTTTCTGCGAAGCTTTTACCTCAGAGGAAAGTTGTTTTAGTAATCTGGGAAAGAGAAACCATGCGCTGAATCAGCAAAAACGCGGCACCAGGCCAGTTCAGCTCAATACTACTGCTGTGTGTAATGTACACACTCTATATGCCTTTGTGGGAATAATCAACAATATATTAGAATTCTCATGGCATAGCAATGCCCGCGAAGCCTGTTGGCAGTTGACAGCCAGATTTCTGTGTCTTCTAATGCAAGGAAACAGGTTCTGAACATGTCTTCTAACAAGCCTTAGATCCAAGGCCACTTAATGGGAGAGAACAGGAAAAATGCAGTTCTCAAAACAATACGAAATATTTTACTTGTTTCAAATGGTCGTGTTACAGAATGCTTAAGTACTCCTTTCTGCCTGTGTTCTTGTGACAAGTGTTCAAGGTGGCTCCAGTAGATGGAATCTTAGTTTTTTATTTTGCATCATTAAAAGCATTTCTCAAAACCGATTCTTGAGAAGGTCTGAAAAGTCTCCTTACAAGTCCCATTAGAACCTTGATCATGCATTCTCATTTGTGTGGAAGGAATAAATGTATTCAGAGTCACTTGGAATAAGACTCTTAAACTACCAAGCCACTGTTTTTTTACAATAGTTGCTTTTAACTGTCCAAGTGATACCTGATTTGCAGTATGTGAACACTTTGGCTGTTAAACAGTCTAAATTGTGCTTTTAATGACAGACATTCAATATTTCTGGGGCTACTTCTTCATAGTTATTTTAATTCTAAGAGTTTAGTTGCAGAAAGTGACTTTTTAAAAACCAAAAATAGCATAAAAAATTCATAAAGAACCAACCAAAAGTTTACCTGTGTTTCATTTATACTTTTACCTCCAAACTTGAACTTAGTACATCTTTTATGCTTTTACTATTTAAATTCTTAAAAAATATAGCTACGTTTCAGTATAATGGAAAAACATCTGGATGTGAAAAATTCAGCCTGTCACCCAACTTCCAGATGTTTGGTACTACGTAGACAAAACATCAGAATGAATGACCAAATTTTTTTTTCTCTACAATCCAGATGGTTTAGTGCCTCTTGCTTCTATAAGGAAGCATATTTTCCTTTCTCTAAACATCACATCCTACTGTATGTAGCCCACGTAAGAGATGATTTACACCCTTTCAGCTACAAAATGCTAGGCCATTTGAAGCGCAGCAAAGCAATCAGTTAATGAAATGATGTTTTTGTGAATGTAGTCCAAGTACAAGTGTTAGTGTGTACTTAGGAGGGAGTGGTGGTGGTGGAGTCAGAAACGGGAAGGTAAGAGAGTGAGTGCCTTGTTCAATGGGAGAATGACTTGGCTAAAAGGACACAGCCTTCCAAAAATCCATCTGTGGCATCCCATAATCTTAATAGGTGAAGTGGAACATTTAGCAGCAGCTTCAATACGGCTGCCTTTTGCCTGAGATGCAACTGGACTATGAAGTGTCATCGTGTACTCAAGATTTCTTTCCTTCTGTTCCTTCTTGGAGCCTTATAAAATGGAACAGAGGAATGTAATGTAACGTTAAAACATTAGGACTCATGAGCATTATGCAGGTGGAAAAATTCTCTGAAAAGTAAAAAGGCAAGTAAGTGATTTAAATATTCATGTTGTTACATGGTGAATATTTAAGTCACTCAAAACTATAGTGATGATGATTGGATTTCTCTTCCTGTGACATGTCACCACATTGTACAGTTGTTAAACTTGGGGCTGAAGACAGCAACATTTTTCCTTCCCCAGAGTCAAAGAGATTTAAGGTCATGAACAGAGCCAGAGCTTTTCTGCTTAACCATGTTGAGGAAGAAGGAACAGATGTAAAGAGCCTTCCACTAGAATCAGCAGATGAAATCAAACTCAGAATGAATTCCATTCTACTTATTAACCTCACACTCCCTGGATTATAGAACAGTGTTTAGATAATGAATGGCAATGAATGTTAAAACATCATAAAACCTGACCACTTAACAATTGCTGCAAGAAAAACATACCATTTTAAATAGACCTTCTTACAACTCAGATTCTGAGCCTTGGGTAATAAGACAGGATTTTATACTGGCCCAAGATCAATTTTAAAGAATAGTTTATGGGAATCTAGTAGAACTTCAGGGTACATATACTGAGTAGTTAAGAGACTCAAAAGCCAAGTGGGAATCTTCAACACCATATAAAACAGAATCACAGTTATTTTTCTTGATTGGATGTTTTCATGACTTTTTTCATGATTCATTTATTAGAATAATAAAATGACAGAGCTGGAATGGACTTAGAGTTCATCCAGGTCTCCTCTGTCTTTTATAGATGAGGAAATGGAACCAAAATGAAAGGACCTATCCAAGGCCACACATTCATTCCAGGAAGGGTCAGAACTAGAATCACTGAGTTCTACTCATGAATTAGAGAGTCCAGCCCCGTCTCCAGGACAGCTTGCATTGAATCATTACAGTAAGGCTCAGTGGTGTTCAAGAAACTGACACCCATCACTACAGGTTGGAAATGGCTCAACATCATTCATTTGCATTACACATCTAAGCGCTATAAAAACAAAGCTAGTGTGAAGGCAGAGTTCCCCCATTCGTCTCCAGAATAAGACAGACTATTGCAAAAACAGAGCTAATAAAACTCTGTCAACTTCAACAACTTGGCTAGAGGTCCTGATAAAAAGTGACAGCCTTAGCTTTTTAAAGAGAACCTACAGCGCCTTGGAAGCATGTCATGTGTAGAATCTGCTACAGTTTCTTTGAAAATAACACAAACATTCAAAATTTAAGTGACTTTAATGGGGAAGAGTGGAGGAGGTGGTGGTTATAGCCATGTCTATGCCATTCTTTACAGAAGACATAGATGTCAGTGGTCCTTCACTCATCTCAGAAACAACTCGCTACTCCAGCAGCTTGCATGATGAAATGGAAGGTTAGGATGCAAGGGGAAGGCGGAGGATGGAAGATGGGGTGGCTGGGTCATATTAGATAGCAATATGAGGCATATTGTTCCCCAATTTTAAGGAACTGGGGATCTCACTAGTTCTTCATGGTGTGAGCCAAGGATATTTCCTTGACTCTTATGTGATGTTATCAAACCTCTTCTGTTAAATGTTTTATTCAATATCAAATGAGAACATAGAAGCATTGCTTCTAGGAAGGGAAGACGGCCCCTGACTCCTTCATGAGTATTCTGCTCCAAGAACTCCAAGGAAGGTTAAGGATTAGGAGAGATGGAGGTGGGAGGAGTAGGTGAAGTTAGACTCAGTGTGGTAGGCCCTCTGTATCTGTGGGTTCCACATCTGTGGATTCAACCAACCTCGGATGGAAACTATTCAGAAAAAAAAAAAAATGAATGGTTTCATCTATATTGAACATGCAGGCTTCTTTTTTGCTTGACATTATTTGCTAAGCAATAGAGTATAACAACCATTTACAGAGCATTTACATTGTATTAGGTATTAGTAATCTAGAGATGACTTAAAGTACAGTATGTAAGAGCATATGCATAGGTTATACGCAAATACCATATCATTTTATATAAGGGATTTGAACATCTGTGGATTTTGGTATCCTTGGAAGGTTCTGGAACCCATCCCCAGTATCCCAAGGGACCATATTTGGAATTGTGAGAAAAGAATAGTCATGTTTTGATTGCCTTGTAGAGAAAGGAGATCCTGGTAAGGCCTTCCCTCCAAGCTAATTCAAAGTTAGTGCTCCCTGAGAAGCAGGATCTGGCCAGAATTTGGGAGAGGGGGATGCTGGGAGAAGAGGTCTATATTCTTTTAAAATGCTTAGGGGAGTAACTAAGCCAGCAAGAGTTAAACCAAATAAAACCAGCATGCCCACTTACCTCTTTAATTTACTCTCCCAAACAGATCATCATTTGAGCTATTCCACTGAAGTCAAGCATGAAATCCATTTAGCTGGATAGCTACCCATTTCCTGTGACCTGCAAAAGAGATGCCCTATTTTTTCAGAATCCTTTGAATGCCACATGCCAAGGCCCACCAGAAAACTGGGAAGGAAAACAGGAGCCACAGGCCTGGGCCCACTGAAATTCACCACTCTTTAGAGTGGATTTCAGCACCACCCAACCCAGATGCGTGGCTGCTAGTTTATCAGCGTAGGTCAGTGAATGGTTTTAAGTTGTTGTGGGTTCAAGAGGATCTCTTAGTTGACAGGCATTTTTGAATCTTTTTTCTGCCTGGGACCCTCTTGCAGTTTTGTACAATGTACAGACTGTTTCTCAGAATGTTTTTAAATGCGTAAATTATATTGAAATTGACCGGGAGCAGTGGCCTATGCCTGTAATCTCAGCACTTTGGGAGGCTGAGGCAGGCGGATTACCTGAGGTCAGGAGTTCAAGACCAACCTGGCCAACATGGTGAAACCCCATCTCTATTTAAAAAATACAAAAATTAGCCAGGCGTGTTGGTGTGTGCCTGTAATCCCAGCTACTTGGAGGCTGAGGCAGGAGAATTGCTTGAACCTGGGAGGCTGAGGTTGCAGTGAGCCGAGATCATGGCATTGCACTCCAGCCTGGTGACAGAGCGAGACTCCATCTCAAAAAAAAATTATATTTAAATAAAATTATCAAGATATTTTTAAGAAACAAGTTTGTAATATATTTGTTTCTTTGTTAGCACATCAAATGCAAGATCTAGTGGTAAGTCTAATAACTTCTGTGATATTGAAACAATAAGTGTTAATGATAAATTCAAAGTATCCTCAACAACTATAATGTGATATGAAGGTATCTGTAATTTCTATTGGTGACAAAGTCACAGGTATTGCTAATGTATCTGTAGTTTGTGTCTACATTCATAATGAAAAGAAATGCTAATTTTACAATAGTGATTGGTAGAAATGAAAATGTAAGTTTTTCACATCCAAGTTTATAGACTTCTGCTTTTACTTGATTGCATTTCCAGAACTCCTTACTTCCTCTTAAAGAACTCCTTAGAAGGAGGAAGAGGGGGCAGTTCTAATGGTACCTTAGAGATATGAAATGAGATGGTCACAGCCATATGAGTAGATTTTAATTGGATTACATTGGGCCTAAGTTTGGAGTGTCAGCATTAAGCCTGTGATACAAGATCTTGTTCCTAAGATGAAAAGTAACTTTATATTGTAATCCTGTAGAGTTGAGATCTTGAGAAGCATTCCCTTGATGAGAGGACACTGGAGGAAGTGTCAGAGTCACCTGGCACAAGTAGGAGAGTGGTAACCAGAGCCAGGAAGGACTTGATAAGGATGCGTGAATCACCTCTGCTTGGTGAATGAGCCCAGGGTGGAGCTCAGCTTCCATCCAGGGAGCTTCAGGCTCCATCTAGGGAGTCTTCATCAAGCGAACAGAGCAAATCCCCAGAGAGGAGGGGATCTGCAGTAAGGGTGGGGGAGGCACATGCAGATCAGGGCAGAACAGCCTGCAGCCTGGGAGCAGAGGGCAGAGAGAGAGCCCAAGCAGGAGTGTCTTCCTGAAGAGTAAACAAAGAAACGACTGACCATTTAAGCTTCATTCACATTAAGAAATTTCTCTTATCAATAGATATTATTGAAGAAAATGGAAAGGCAAACCACATACTGGGAGGAAAATGTTCAAGACGTATATCTGACAGAAGATTCATATCCACCATATCCACAATACATAAAGAACTCTTACAAATCAAAAAGACAAATACAAGCAACTCAAAGATTATACATGAACAAAAGACTCAACAGACACTTCAGAAAGAGGATATCCAAATGGCCAGTAAGCATTTGAAAAGGTGCTCAATGTCATTAGTCATCAGGACATGCAAATTAAGCCTTTACTCAAATACACACATTGTAGAAGGACTAAAACTAAAACAATAAAAATTCATCATGTCAAGTGTTGGAGAAGATATGGAGCAACTGAAACTCACACACTGTGGGTGGGAATGTACACTAGTAGGACCACTTTGGAAAGCTTTTAGTATCCACTAAAACAAAGCACAAATTCATGCCCAAGACCCAGTAACTCCATTCTCAGGTATAGGCCCAAGATCGCATTTGTCCACAAAAAGACACGTACAAGAATACAGCTTTATGTATTTTATATATTATAAATGTAAATATTCATTTATATAAATATTTATCAACTTTATTCACTATAGCATCAACCTGGAAAGAAATTCCCATAAAAAAGATTGCAGTGTATTTGCACACTGGAATATCATACTGCAATGAAAAAGAACAAACTATCGCTACACACAAAGTGGGTGAATTGTATAGTCATAATATAGAGCAAAAGGAGCCAGATGTAAAAGAGTATACACTGCATGATTCCATTTATGGGAAAGAAGAGAACAGGCAAAACTAATCTATGGTGATAGAGGTCAGGACAGAATTTACTTTTGCAGGGTGGGGGTATTGACTGGGAGGGGACACAAGGGCACCTTCTGTGGTGCTGAATTATAAATATTATTGACTTTCTGAAAAGTGATTTGGAAATGCAGTCAAGTAAAAGGAGACTGCCATACTGTAGATTCACTCCTTCTGACTCCATGGTTTTATATTACAAAAGGATTTCACTTGGGCCATATGAGCCTGAAGAGGGTACAAGGGCAAGCTCCAGGCTGGCAAAAGATTCTTGCAATAGATGTATCTGATGCATGGCTTGCATCCAGTTTGAAATGTGCAAAAGATTCAAAGTAAACTTTATAAAAGAGGATAACCAAATGGCTAATAAGTGTAGGGAAAGTTGCTCAACAGCTTTATTCGTAGGGGAAATGCAAATTAAAACCACAACCCCACAAAATTATACACGCCCACGAAATGACTGAAATACCAAAGGTGGGCAAGCATTGAGCAATGGAACTCTCCCACGCTGCTGATGGGAAAAAAAACTGGCACAGTCATAGTGGAAACCAGCTGTATTTACAAATGCTAAGCATGTACCTATCAACCTAGGGCTCTGCGTGACTGGTCCAGGACCCCAGTTAAATAAGAACAGGGAGAAGGACCAGAAATCTTGTCTAATGAAGCCTGCCAGGCTTAGGAAACTATTTACGTTTGTTTTTTTCCTTAGATTTCTAGCAAAGTTATTTTCTCTTTTTTCTTCCTTTCTTTTTTTTTCTTCAAAATCCCAGCATTACCTTGGTTTAATTAAAGGAGAAGGGGAATTGTCTGCTTAGTTCAGAATAGTAAGGGAAACGAGAAGTCCAGTCTGCTGGTGGAAATGGCTGAGTCAGCAAGAATACCTGAGAGCACCGTGGAGCCCTGGAGTGAGTAGGCAAGACAGGATGGTTCAAGGTTTCTGTCATGGGGCCCCAGAGGGAAAGACCAAGAAAGCTACTCACCGCCTTCTACTGCTGTCTAGGAAATGGCCTATTCCTTCTTAGAGCGCTGGCTGTCCATGGGTGGCACAAACCACACGTGTGCCTTGCACAGAGGTGTTTCTGCAGCCCTCACTTCTGTATTGATTAGCCAGTGCTGCAGGAACTGACGTGGGAGCCTGGCAAGAGTTGAGAATCCAGCTTGGGAGGGGAGGATGAAGGTGATGGAGGGGGGCTTGGGGTAAGGGGAGCAAAGTGGCCGAAGAACTTAACAAGACCAGAGCCAACAGAAGCCTGAGGCTCAGCCTTCCAGCTCTCCTCTTGTGAGCCCATCCATCAGCATGGCCTTCTGGCCCCACATTGATGCTTCCCATGAAAATTGGTGCCAGGATGGACAAGCTCCAGGGTGACTCATAACAAGCAGCAAACAGCACAGGGAAGGCTGGGGATCTGACATCTGTTTCACGTCACAGAGTGAAAACTTATTTCTCCTAAACACTGAGGATGGCAGCTATAAATGTCAACCTTTGTGGCTCACTGTCAGGATATTTTTTCCTGGTTTGAGAATTTTCTCAGGAGATGTAACCCATGAGGCACCCCAGACTCTCCCCAAGTTACATGTCAAAGGTCCAAGTTATGGCAACACAGCCCTTGAACAAAATATGAAGTAAAAGATACTAGCCCATTTGTGATAGAAAGAGTTGTTTTTTTTTTTTAGGTTTCTATTAAATTTAGACCCTATTCACATGTCTTGTTCTGTTCATTTTACTTCGAGATTTGGGAGACTGACTTTTCAACCTCATATTCATTGTTGTCATCATCCGCTAACATATATTAGGCACTTACTGTGTGTAGAATGCTGTGTTTAGCATAGAAGGGTTGTATATAAACTCATACAGGGTATCCATAGAATGACAAGGGTCTTGTTATTAAATCCCAAGATACCATTCATCCATTCATTCAGAGGATTATTTTGTGAGCCTCTACCACATGCCCAGTACCATGTGGCTGTTGGTGACACAACAGAAAGCAGCAGGACAGCAACAGTCTCGGCCCCGACAGTACTCATGGTCCAGTGAGGGAGGAAGATTTTAACTTTTATTTATAAATTGTATTTTTTGATTTATTTTGAGATGGAGTCTCGCTCTGTTGCCCAGGCTGGAGTGCAGTGGTGCAATCTCGGCTCACTGCAACCTCCACCTTCTGGGTCAAGCTATTCTCATGCCTCAGCCTCCCGAGTAGCTGGGACTACAGGTGCCCACCACCATTCCCAGCTAATTTTTGTATTTTAATAGAGACAGGGTGTCGCCATGTTTGCCAGGGTGGTCTCAAAATCCTGACCTCAAGAAGGTAGTTGTTAAGTTTAGAATCATCAGAGATACACAGTGGGATAGAAACTCACTGCACTTTAAGAGGGTAATACAGATGGGCAGGGAGAATACGCAAAGAGGCTGAGGAGGCTGTGGCTGGTAGTTGCATCATGTGTTGTAGGGGGCTTGGGGGCTGTTTGAAGGAAGGCAGCTGTGGCATCCTGCAAACTAAGAGACATGGCATCCTGCAAACTAAGAGACGTGGCATCCTGCAAACTAAGAGACATGGCTGTGGAGGAAGAACTGCAGGGGTGTTCTCATTTGGTTGCGTGAGGTCTGTTGCCCACCATGTGGTTGAGAATCCCTAAAGCTGATTTCAGAGAGTTGGTGGAATCTGGGATGAGGGGGTGGGAGGTGGGGTTCAAGCCAGGCAGAGACCCAGACTGAAGGGAAGGAGAATATTGTGGTAGGCATCCTTCACCTTGACCCTTTGACTGGGTCTCCATAGACAAAGAAGGATGAAGGAAGAGAACTCAATAATATTACTACCCAATCACAGGAAGGGAGAGGATGATGTATTTGCAGCTGCTGTTCACTTTACAAACACCTTCACACATATGATGGCACTTGTTTATTTTAATAGCCTTTGAAGTAGACAAGGAGGGCCATTTCACAGAGAAGAGAACTGAAGCTTCTTTTCTTTTTTTTCTTTTCCTTCCTTCCTTCCTTCCTTCCCTCCCTCCCTCCCTCCC